ATTTTATATCTTACTTTTCCCTCCCGCGAGCACTTTAATATAATTTACACAGATATTTATAATAGAGTTTAAAGGTGGATAGCACCTTCTCCCCAGTTGCAGGTGGAATTTCCAAGCTCGCTGAAACATCTTTACCTTAAAATAATGTGACACCCAACCAAGAGGGGGATGGACTTTCCCAAATGTGTGAAACACCACGCCTTAAAGGACTCCTTGAAGATGAGTTTAAAACTTCATCCACCAAAATCTGTGAACCCCTTTTCCGAACCCTGTCTTATCATGCATTTACATCACATAAATGAACCAATCAGTCAGACAGTCTAACAGGGAAAATAGTCGTATATAGATAGTTAATCCGTACCCGATCGTAGCAGAGCAGCGTGGAGAAATTGGCGGTCTTTAGATTGTGTATGGTCTGCACGAACTTGGCACAGTAGAGCGCATCGAGGGCGGTGAAGGTGCAGCGCGGGAAGAGGCACAACTGCAGGAACTGTGTTATGGTATCGTTTTTCGCCGACTTGGCCGAGCGCAACAGGAACCAGCCATCCTTTTGCTCCTGCAGGCGTTGCAAAATCTTGTCCACATGCTCATGCTGCTTCTTGCGCTCATCATTCAGCTTCTCCATGAGCGCAATGTAACGCTCCTGTTCCTTTTTGTTTTTGGATTGGTTCTGGACAAGTTGAAAGACATTATTGAAGAAGCGCTTTTGGTTGTATGTCAGCTGATCTTACCGAATCCTTGCCCTCGGCAGCCTGCTGTGCCAGCTGCTTTAGCTTGCCAATCTCGCGCTGATAGATCTCGTTGGGCACGTGCAGATCGTACATGCTCAGGCTCCAGAAGGTGACCAGAAACTGTGGGCTAATGTCCTCCCACACCTTGAAGCTGTGCAGCGGTCGCACCGACTCCACAATGGGATTCATTATCAACTGTGTGGCTTCCAGATATTTTTGCAGCTTTTGCGCCGTCGTCAGCTTCTTGGCATTGGGATCCGCCTTGCGCAGTTGATCGTACTTTTGCTGCAAAGCGAAATAAAACCAAATTAAGTTTAAATGTAATCTAAATTTCACGGGGTGACACCTACGTTAATCTGATGCGTGAACATGGGCCGTGCCAGAAAGAAGGCGACATCCGTGTTGATGTGATATTCGCGCAGCATCGTGATAATCGATGGCAGGCGTTCGACATACTCATCCACCGAATAGGTGGAGCCCAGAAATGTGCCAAACTGCACCAAGGCATCCTGGCACTGATCATACAGACTGCCCACCAGCTTCAGATGGCTGTGTGCGGCCGTCTCCCGAAAGATGACGCAGTGCTTCTGCTGGGCCATCAGCAGGCAAAGTGTGACGGCGAGATCGTTGTTGGCCAATGCCTCCTTCAAGCGATTCGATGACTTCTTCGTGTTACGCACCTGACTGAAGTAGCCAGCCTGGAAATATAATCAAATGTTAATATATAATATTTTTAAATATTTGCTAACACCCAAGTAAAGCTAAGGAAATTCTTCAACTACGAGCCTGACTATGTTTAGCATTGTCTGTCCGGATATTTAAGCCTAAACTTAAACTAATCCTAATCCCCACTTTAATCAAGGAATATTCTTCAATTACGAGCCTGACTTAAGTTAAGTATTGTTTGTCAGCATATTTAAGTACGAAGATAACTTTACATTCATGAATATTTTGTATTACTAGCGGGCATTTCCCGGCCTTAATGCTTCAATTTAAACCATTTTACGAATGGTGTGAAACAGCTCTCAAATAAATGTTAGCAGAAATCTTTGAAATTCATCAGCTAAGGTAGCTACAGTAAATATTTCAGCTATCTATCTCTTGTTGAGCTGTCAATCAATCAGTCACGACAATTTTATAGATAAAGATATTATATATATATATCAATTTAAAGCCCACCTCGCCGCGCAGCTGTTCGCCGCCGCAAAGGGCTTGCAGCTGATCGTTTGTCATCTCCTCGCAAGACTCGACGCCGGCCATTTTGTGCACCAGCTCGCGCAGCACCAGCAAATCGAGACTCTTCTGTGACTTCAGCTGATTGGCCACATACTGCAGCAGGCCGCTCATCTCGATGCTGTACTTCTTGTAGATGGTGCCGCAGAAGGAGGCAAGACTCTGGAGCCACAGCGAGAGCGAGGTGCCGTCGTCCTTGAAGCGACCCCGACCCGTCATCGTCAGCGACTCAATGATGCAATAGCCCAGACAATCAAAGGACAAGGCGGTCAAATACTTGAGCATGTCGCAGACGGGTCCGATTAAGTTGTCATATATTTGAATCTGAACCAGGATCTGAAAGGCAATTATTTAAATGAGATGAGATTTATCCAAGCTAGCTAGATATATGCTTACATAATCGAAGAGCAGGCCGGGCGTACAGTGGCTATATTTTCCCACGAGACGCCCCAGCGGCTTGACATTCTCCTTGCTGACGCGCTTCATGAGCGCCTTGATATCCCGCTGCGCCAGTCCACAGCGTCGTATCAGATTCGGATGCAGCTGATAGCTGTCGTTCTTCCAGCGTGCGTACATGCTGTAGCGCAAATGATATGGAAAGAATTTGAGCACAGCCCAGATCTCCTCGGACATGGAGCAATTGCTGTCCAGATAAAGCAACGAGGGCAATATGCTTGCGTCCAGACAGCTAATGATATCATAATAATGCTGTTCCAGCTCCGTATTTGGCGGCGGTCCATTTAAGTTGTCCACGCCCATGTCCAGTAATATTTTGCCCATAATGCGCACCAGTTTATACATCAAAACCGTATCGCAATGCATCGCGGGACCCAGCACATTGGCCATGGGCCATGTGAATTTGCGCAGATCGGCAAATTCCTGCGCCTGCAGCTTGGCAACCAGCGTGGCGTCCTCGTACAGCCGATTGCGGCTGGGCTTGCGGCCAGCGGGTGCCTTGAAGACTTTCTTGTAGTAGATCTGCTCGACGGACAGATGCACCAGCTCCACAATGCCGCGTGCAATGGGCTCCTGCACCACAACCGACTGATCCGGCAGCTTTTGTATAATTTTGAGCGCGTTCTCCCAGTCGCCAACCTTGAGCAGAGCCTCGCAGAGACCAAACTTTTGATTGGCATTGTATTTCTCCTGTCGAGTGCATAGGGAATCAGCTAATGGAAAGATTTAGATTCATTCAAAACGTACCTCATCGAATTTCTTAGTAGTTGGTGGTGCTGGTGGTTCTTTGTCCTCTTCTTTCTTGTTGGTGGAAATCACATGCAGCTTCCGGACCATTTCTCTCGCCTCGGCAAGCTCCTCCTCCCAGTTGGCACGTATGCTGCCATCATTCGGCGTTAGCCAGACATAAACATCGTTCAGCTCGATGACGCCATGCTTCAGCAGCAGAGCGCACACATGGTACAACGAGCGCGGCGTGCGCGTTGCCTTAAAGTGGCAGAATTTATAGCCTAGAACTTCGCAAATGATGGCGCCGGTGGGCATATAACTGCGCAGCAAGGGTATAAAAAGCTTCCAGCGATCGGGACGCGTCTCAAATGATTCAATAATAATATCCAGCACGCGATTCGGATCCAGATTAAAGCAGCCTGAAGGCAAAGATAATGTCAACGAGCACAAATCAGGCTGCAAATGATGGCACTCACCTATCAGGGATTTAATTATGTCCATTATGGCATCAGGGGTTGTGTGCTCCTCAAAGTCCTGATTCAATTCTGTGATGAGCTTGGCGAAACCCTCGCTCTCCTCGCGAAACAGGTTAAAGCGGCGCTGCTTGTAGCTGCAAAAGGAAATGAAAATGAAGTTTATTTTATCTTGACTTTGATGACGCGCACTTACTAGAGCTTAGTCTTGACTTTGATGAACTTCGTGTAGAAGCTCTTGTTCTTTACAATGCCCACTTCCTGTAGGGTATCAATTTCCAAGCGCTCCTTAAGCAAACTCTCCGGCAGCACCTTGTCCAAATCCTTAACAACTTGCACAAAACCATGGCGCTCCTCCTGCAGACCTTCGGTCATCAAGGATGTTTCGCTGTCCAGTATGTTGACCACGTCCAGTATCAGACTGGGAAACTCTTTGTGCAGCGCCTAAATGTGCGAGATTCAAGTAAAGTTGATTTTGATGCCCGCCTTGATGCACTTACCACAACATCTGTGAGCACGTGCAGCACGACATCCTTCTTCAGCTTGTAGCGCAATGCCTGCCAGAGCAGCTCATAGATGGCATTCGAGATGCCGTGCTTGAATGTGCCATGCTGATCGAACACCGGACTCTCTGGACTATCCTGCAGCTGTTGCTTCAGGTATTTTATGCTAAGTAGATAAAATTTATCAACAAATTATTAGCACTCATAGATTAAGAGACACACGCGCAGTTACGTACAATTCGCTGCGACCGGATTTGTCGAAATGTTTGAAGATGTCCACATTAAGTAATGTATCGCCTCCACCGTTGGCATCTGTCGGGGCCGCCGGATCGGACGCAGCTGCCGCTGTTGTTGTTGTTGTTGTTGCTGTCGCCGCTGCATCGTTTTCTTGCGTACCCGTCACGCTGTGACTCTTCGCAAGTTTCTTCAAACGACGCATGCAAATTATTTATGGTTAACACGCGGGCAACACGTTCTTTATTTGCTTTATTTATGAATTTCTATGTTGTTTATTGAAAAATTTGACAAATTTTCACACTTTTCTCCGCCTTTTTAAGTGTGAGAGATGTGTATGGAAAATAAGTTTATCGATTGCTATGTATCGAACCAGGGCTGCAGTGCAAACATCGAACGGCTGTTAAAGGTATGCTGGTATGCTAGTATGCTGTTAACCAAAATCTGTTACGAAACTTAACAGAATCTGCAAATGATATTTTTAACAGCATTTAACAGTTAACAGTTCTTCTCTGTAAATTAATGTGGCCTTGCCTTGATTACACACTATTGTGAATAATAGAAAAATGTTAAATTTATCTAACCTCAAAATAGATGCACGAGTAATTGTTGGCGCAACTGTACCTAAGCAAAGTAATAACTTTTACGACACATGAGTTTATTAAAAATTGACACTAATTGATTGCATGTGCATAGATATGTGAAAAATAATTTCATGTTTACTTAAAGCTATAGACGTAGACGATTTCTCAATGAATTGGTATTTGTTTTTTGTTGTTGTTTACAGGTCCTCTAAAAACGCGGCTTGAAAGTAGCCGGAAACTGATTGAAACGTGGCCGCAGCGCCGCATTCGATTTCTCGAACTTCTCGCCCGAGTGACCCAAGATAACGCCATCGTTACCCTTGCCGCCATCTCTGAGATTCGGCTGGGTTGCACTGGCCTCGGCCACATCGATAATGCGCGGATTCTTGCGATATCTGTACCACCAATACTCAAAGACGAGCGTAATGCAGGCCATGCCAATGCCCACAAAGATCACGATGAAAACACCGCCAATATTCTGTATGGATATGCCATCCGACTGATCCTCCGGCTTCTCGCAGTTGGCCTGCGCCTCATCGTTCTTCCACCACTTCTCCTTGAGCTTCTCCAGCTGCCGCTTGTTCAGCAGGGTTAAAATGCTGCGAGAGAGTTTCAAATAGGAATAAGCATCTTTTCACATGATTAGAAATCCGCCCGAACTTACGCATTATTGAATTGATCCTTCAGATGTGAGCCCTGCTGCACGGCAATGGCATAGGGTTTGCGGGAGAACTCCTCCCCGACCACCTGCAGATCACAATTGGTCAGCTGCAGGTAGCGTATGTCCGTGGCATCGCCCAGAAATGCGAAGCCCGTTGCCGTCGAGGAGTTGCGCACGCGAGTCACTGCGTCATCGAGGGTGGCCGGCAGGCCCGCCTCCTGCATGGCCTGCCACATTTTGGTATATTTATCGCTAACTGGATAATCCCAGACGGCCAGCTTGGAGCGCTCCAGCGGCGTCAGCGAGTCGTTCAGTGACAAATCTTTCCAGATTTCGTAGAACATTTGCTCAATGTTGGCCATGCGCTCGAAATAGGTCATCGCAGCGGAGCCATTCAAGGGTGCATACAGAATCTTGTACTGCTTGGCCAGATCGTCCAGGGACTCCACGGGCGTGTCCAAACGTGAGACAGTCAAAAAGGCAGCCAAGTTGGCCGTGTAGGAGGCAATTATGATGAAGCTAAGGAATATAAGAGTCACTTTATGTTAATCCAATATTTAATTATAATATTGAAGTGGAACATTTTTTGAAAAGCTCATAAAAACAATTGTATTTGCATCTAACATCTTATGAGCCTCTGTTAAATAACATTTAATTTGAATGTTAACGTTTTATCTCATTATTTTTTTATAGAAATATATCTAATGGAAAATTTTTTGAAAAGCTCATAAAAACAATTGTATTTGAATCTAACATCTTATGAGCCTCTGTTAAATAACATTAAATTGGAATGTTAACGTTTTATCCGATTAAATATTTTGATAGATTTGCCTTAAAACCGTTAATCTCTAAGCTCGATTAAATAAATTTTGGTGTAAAGTCGTGTTAATTTTGATCACACCTACCCGAAAAGCCACCACGTGGCCGCCACTAGACGACCGGATAGATTTTTGGGTGCCTCGCCGCCACCTTGGGGCGTCAGGGACGTCATGCAGAACCAGAGGCACTCCTTCAGGTTGAACTCGCGCTTCTCCTCATCGTCCTTGTACTTGTCGCGATTGTTCTGATAGCTGTATGGACTCCAGCGATCGAAGACCCACATCAGGAAGCTGGTAAAGAAATAGGCAGCCAATATGCACAGCCAGACATTCGTCTCCAGCACGGTGAGGAACTTGAACAGCGAGCTGGGCGAACTGGGACGCTGCATCATAATCGTAATGCCCACAAGATCGTAGTAGGGCACCGTGAAATCGATGACAATTTCCCGCTCGGCCATCACCGACATGCTGCCCAGCCCAATGTCCGCCTGTTTGTCAATCAATTTCTTCACGATGCCATTCCAATCGCCCTTCTCGTCCATGTTGCCGAACTTGCCATCCTCCACCTCCTGAATCTCATAGTCGAAGTGCACAATGGCCGCAATTTCGTTGATTAGATCTATGCAATAGCCTTTATAGCCCTTGGGCGCCGTCTCATCGCGCATTATAAACGGCGCTTGCTGGGAATGGTATAAAAAGAATTTGCTTTAGAGAATACTCTTCTTTAGGTTTATATAGCCTACGAGCGGGTATATCCCGGCCTTGCCCGTAACAAAGAGCCAAACCTTGTAAAAATCGGATGAGATTTGACCGAGTTATTGGGGTGGGAAATTTGGATCTATGTCTATATACGATATTTGAAGGAACCATATGAATTTTGACCAAAAATAATGTTGCCAGATTTTGGTGCCACATTTATTTGGAGGCCAAACTATGAACAAAAAGGCAAATCTTACGAAAATCGGATGAGAATTGACCGAGATATGGGGCTGGGAAATTTAACCTCTGTCTATATAGGATATGTGAGGGTACCATTTTCATATGAATTTCGACCAAAAATAATGTTGCCAGATTTTGATGCCACATTTATTTAGAGGCCAAACCATGATCAAAAATCCAAACCTCGTAAAAATCGGATGAGATTTGACAGAGTTATGGGGCTGGGAAATTTAACCTCTGTCTATATAGGATATGTGAGGGTACCATTTTCATATGAATTTCGACCAAAAATAATGTTGCCAGATTTTGATGCCAAATTGATCTAGAGGCCAAACCATGAACGAAAAGCCAAACCTTATGAAAATCGGATCAGATTTGACCGAGTTATGGGGCTGGGAAATTTAACCTCTGTCTATATAGGATATGTGAGGGTACCATTTTCACATGAATTTTGACCAAAAATAGTGTTGCCAGATTTTGATGCCAAATGGATCTAGAGGCCAAACTATGAACAAATAGGCAAATCTTATGAAAATCGGAGGAGATTTGACCAAGTTATGGGGGTGGGAAATTTAACCTATGTCTATATAGGATATTTGAGGGTACCATTTTCACATGAATTTTGACCAAAAATAGTGTTGCCAGATTTTGATGCCACATTTATTTAGAGGCCAAACCATGATCAAAAAGGCAAATCTAATGAAAATCGGATGAGATTTGACCAAGTTATGGGGCTGGGAAATTTAACCTATGTCTATACAGGATATTTGAGGGTACCAGTTTGACATGAATTTTGACCAGAAATAATGTTGCCAGATTTTGATGCCACATTTATTTAGAGGCCAAACCATGATCAAAATCCAAACCTCGTGAAGAATCGGATCAGATTTGACCGAGTTATGGGGCTGGGAAATTTAACCTATGTCTATATAGGATATTTGAGGGTACCAGTTTGACGTGAATTTTGACCAAAAATAATGTTGCCAGATTTTGATGCCACATTTATTTAAAGGCCAAACCATGATCAAAATCCAAACCTATTGAAAATCGGATCAGATTTGACCGAGTTATGGGGCTGGGAAATTTAACCTATGTCTATATAGGATATGTGAGGGTACCATTTTCATATGAATTTCGACCAAAAATAATGTTGCCAGATTTTTATGCCAAATTGATCTAGAGGCCAAAGCATGAACAAAAAGGCAAATCTTATGAAAATCAAGGGAGATTTGACCAAGTTATGGGGCTGGGAAATTTAACCTATGTCTATACAGGATATTTGAGGGTACCAGTTTGACATGAATTTTGACCAAAAATAATGTTGCCAGATTTTGATGCCACATTTATTTAGAGGCCAAACCATGATCAAAAATCCAAACCTCGTAAACATCGGATGAGATTTGACAGAGTTATGGGGCTGGGAAATTTAACCTCTGTCTATATAGGATATTTGAGGGTACCATTTCGAAATGAATTTTGACCAAAAATAGAGTTGCCAGATTTTGATGCCAAATTGATCTGGAGGCCAAACCATGAACGAAAAGCCAAACCTTATGAAAATCGGATCAGATTTGACCGAGTTATGGGGCTGGGAAATTTAACCTCTGTCTATATAGGATATGTGAGGGTACCATTTTCATATGAATTTCGCCCAAAAATAATGTTGCCAGATTTTGATGCCAAATTGATCTAGAGGCCAAACCATGAACAAAAAGCCAAACCTTATGAAAATCGGACCAGATTTGACAGAGTTATGGGGCTGGGAAATTTAACCTATGTCTATACAGGATATTTGAGGGTACCAGTTTGACGTGAATTTTGACCAAAAATAATGTTGCCAGATTTTGATGCCACATTTATTTAAAGGCCAAACCATGATCAAAATCGAAACCTATTGAAAATCGGATCAGATTTGACCGAGTTATGGGGCTGGGAAATTTAACCTATGTCTATATAGGATATTTGAGGGTACCATTTTCACATGAATTTCGACCAAACATAGTGTTGCTAGATTTTGATGGCAAATTGATCTAGAGGCCAAACAATGGACATCCATGTCTCATCAGTCGTCAGTCAATCAATCAATCAATCAGTCAGTCAATCAATTAATCAGTCAATCAGTCGGTTGTATTTATATAGATTGTCTTACCACCACCGTGTATATGCGATAGACGGTATCTGCGGTGAGATTCTTTATTTGCTCCTCATCCTTGACAACCAGCGGCGAGTCGAGGCCAGCTGTCCAGGTGCCAATTGATTTGCTGTTCACGGAGCTGCCGCCACGTATCTGGAGCACATTGATGTCCATTTCGAATTTCATATAGCTGAAGCCATTGAAGGGCTTGCGCGGTTGCGTGACCAGCTCGAAAGTGCCGTAGGATGTCGGTTCGCTAACCTTTGAACACACCAAAAATGTTGTAAACAATAATTAGCCATAATTGGCGGGGACTACCCCTTATTTTAGTGTAAACACACCTGTGTAAAATATTGCCTAAGATCAATATTGCGTTCAGGTGTATTGCCGCCCTGAAAGTCATCACACCTCAGATACTCCATGTCCTTCGGCCAGGCGCCCGATTGCAGCATTTCTCTGTCACAAATAACAAAGAAATTAGATTTGACCACAACATAGACACCAAAAACTTTTGCTGTAATTATGTACCAATAATAGAGAGGGTCAATTAAAAGTAGAAAAGACCAAAATAGAATTCAAGTGGGCTCCATTTTGTTTACTTCTCTGCCAGAGCTAACAATACCCTTAACTTGCTGTCAAAACCAATTTGTCATGGGGATTACCTAACTGATAAATACATTACAAGGTACTTATAATAGGGGAAGTTTATTTGAGCTCGAATATACAAAAATATGTACATATTAATTTTGGCCCAGTTTTTTTTATATCCGGACAGTTTATAGCCTTTTACGTGATGGGGGCGAAAGTGGGCGTGTTGGAAATATTTGCAGCTTTCACTCTAGAGGAAATCATCTGCAACAATCCTATAAATGGAATTTCCCAAAAAATTTCACTAAAATATCCCCAAGCGCAGATTATAAAAGTGGGCGTGACGAGAATATTTGCAGCTTTAACTCTAGAGGAAATCATCTGCTGCAATCAAAAGAAGAATGGAATTTCCCAATAAAATATCCCTAAAATATCCCCAAGATCAGAATTTCAAAGTGGGTGTGACGAGAATATTTGCAGATTGCACGCTAGAGGAAATCATCTGCAACAATCAAAAGGAGAATGGTATTTCCCAATAAAATGTCCCTAAAATATCCCCAAGCTCAGATTATAAAAGTGGGTGTGACGAGAATATTTGCAGATTGCACTCTAGAGGAAATCATCTGCAGCTATCAAAAGGAGCATGGAATTTCCCAATAAAATGTCCCTAAAATATCCCCAAGCTCAGATTATAAAAGTGGGTGTGACGAGAATATTTGCAGATTGCACGCTAGAGGAAATCATCTGCAACAATCAAAAGGAGAATGGTATTTCCCAATAAAATATCCCCAAGTTCACAATTTCAAAGTGGGCGTGGCAAGAATATTTGCATTTTTGACTATGCTGACCTCGCCACAATCCTCTATGAGAATGTGATTTCCTATAAAATATCCCTAAAATATCCCCAAGCGCAGATTAAAAACAAAGTATAAAAACTCAAAACAGGCAACTGAATAATAGAATGGCAAGTAGCTTAACAGGAAATTGATAAAAACAGGCTTTGAGAAATGTAAATTGGTTCCATTTAGTTCTTATCCCATAAGACTTACTTGATGGCCAGAAAGCTGCGCAGTGCCAGATCAAAGTAGAAGGCCGATGCCAGCTGCGGTTCCTCATTCAAATTAAATGTGGTGCGCAGCAGACCCAAGCGATCGCGATATTGCGTATACGCCATGGGCTTCAGGAACATAATGGTCGCATTGTCCCTTTGGCTGCTGACCTCGCCCTCGCTCTGCGTAATCGCATGCCAGGCGAAATTGCGCTCAAAATAGGCGGGCTTAACAGACTCGAGCACCATTCGTATAGACTGTAAATTGCCCAGCACAAAGAAATTGTTGATGTCCAAATTGCGCAGCTTCTCGATCTGTTCCTCGCGCTCCCGTTTCCCATCCTTGGCAATGGCCGTGATCACGTGACGCGTCTGAATGTTCTGCAGCAAGGATTTGTATTTGTGGTCCATAACAAAAGTGTCATCGTAGAGTATGGCAGCTGGCGGGAAATAGTGAGGGATCAAATATCGCTTATCGAAAAGAGAGCAGGATTATAAGCTATCGATAACTGTTCACACATAAATATCGATATTTTCTTAGCAACCGATCGGTCAAAGGCAAATTTTACACTTGTACGAAAAATGTATATCAAAGAAATGCATGTTAATTAAAGGGTATGTGCCCGTCGGGCATGCTTACCATTGGTGATGTTTAGCCGCTTGACAATGCTGCGCACTGCTTCGGGTATAATGTCAGCTGGCGGCATAACTTGCAGCAGATACTTCTGCTTGGCCTCGTCCAAGTCGCGCCATTGCCGCAGGTCGCCCTCCTGGCCATAGGAGGCGCTGATGGTGGGCAAGCCCAGGGCCTGGGTGAAGCTCTTGACCGTTTCCGAGGCGACGCCCGCTTTGGTGGTGTCCAGTACAAGATGCGGCATTTGTTTCTTCTCAATGCTGGCCACATACTTGTTGCAGACTGTGAGTAAGGGATCGGATTATATAGATATATATGTACATAGAATACTTTATTAAAGAACTTACTTGCTTCCAGCAATATTTTGGCATCCGTTTTGTTTGCCTCGATGGACTCAATTTGCACCGACAAACCGTAGCTGGGATTCTTCTTCAGATAGGTGAGGACCACCTCGATGGCCTTGGTCGCTGGCTCATTATCCACCTCGTTAATAAAAACTGTGGAAGAGGACACACGACATTAGTTCTTCTATTTGCACAGGGCACAAACCCCGCACCAGAACCCGCCCAAGTCAGCCCAGCTTTAGCATTCAGCTTAATTAGTTTACCTAAGACCCGAGTCCTATCTATTCCTTTGCCATCTATCGATTGGGCACTTACACACATTGATATTCTGGCTCGTCTGTGCTGCAATTTCCACATGGAGTGCACTTTGCAGCAATGTCCACAACAACCATAAATATTTCAAAGTTTCAAAACGTTTCTCCATTATAGTCCTGGCAACCTGACGCTGACCGCACCGCACGAACCACCATCGGGAACTGACACACGCCGCTGAGCGGTGCTTTCGGCGCGCCAATGTGTGGACATGTGTGTATCCTTGGTGATAATCAATTGACTGTCTGCCCTCACCTGACCGCCTAATCTATTGTTCGTGGCGCTAATTGGCGACGCCCCCCCAAACCGAGCCGGATATGGGTCAGCCTTTGGACGATTGTCACAATGCTTCCTCCGAGAGCCAAATATGAGTCCGTGACATTCGTTTTTGTCATGATTACGATCTATTTAACTTAACGATTAATTAAAATCATAAATTGCGAACATGCCATATATTATTTTAGCTAACAACGTATTTGTCTTTAATGAACTTTGAACTTCAAAAACTTCATAATAATTACCAACAGAAATTAGGAAATTTAAAAAGTTCGTTTACTTTTAATATCTTGTATGAGTAATAAGGACTTTCGAGCTTTGTGCAACTTTATAAGCAAGGCTACGAATAGGTTTAAACCGGAGCTCCAAAAAAAAGCTCAAAACAGGACAGTTCCTTATCTAATTATACTTACTTATATCCTCTAAAATTACAAATATAGAGACTTTTAAGACTTTTTCCAAAGTACTCTCTTTTCTTTTTGTAAGAATACAAAATTGTGATATTTAAAGTTGAGACTGTATAATATCAGATAAAGGCATTTACTTTATACTTAGTATATAAAATGTTCTTAAATGTATTATAGTTTACTTTAACAAATAAAAAATAAACCATTTAATCATTTTGTTCATCATACATAAAGAAAAGCTAAGCACAACTTATCAATGCAGTTTGTCATAGTGAAGTACGACTGTACATAATAATAAAAATAAAGAAAGCAAAAAGCCAGTTTTTTTTTTATATAAAACTTGCAGCACTCGACGAAATTACAAAAATTTTTATTACGTTATTATGAAACTTTTGAATACCCAGTCAAAAAAAAAATGTAACCATTCAAATCTGGGGCAGCAAATTGGGCGTGTTTATCTTAGATACAAACAATAGATAAAGATAGCTACTAGCCGTCGGCTAGCGTGAATTGTCATTATGCGTAGACCTAAATTTAAATTTAACATACACAGTTCGATCGCAGTACTTGAATATATAAGTATATACATACATACTAATGCCTATGCCTTATGATAATAGTCAAGTAAATGTGTGTGTGTCTGTGTGTGTGTACGTGCGTGTGTGCACAAAAATCTCACAAATTCCAGTCATCTGGGCCCGACTCCTCGTGCACAACGACGGGCGTGCGCGGTGCACCGGGCACAGGTGTGGGCACCAGGGGTACATTGCTGTGTAGACCACCAGCGCCGCCTCCAAAGAACGGCGGTGGCCTAAAGCTGCTCGGCGTTGCCGCATTGGAGCTGTGCGTGGACGAGGCCGAAGAGTCTCTCACACGCGACGCATCAAACGCCGGCGGCTGGGCGTACCGATGATGCGGCTGACCTAGCTGCGGTGTCCGGGAACGCGAATGTTCGCGCATCGCCTCGTGCTGTCGCTGCTGCTGCAGCATATATTGCTGTTTCTTCTGCTTGAGCAGCAGCTCCTCGCGCTGCAGCTGACGCTGCTTCTCCGCCAGCTTACGCTGCTGAGCCAAAAGGCGATTGGTTTTGCTCCACGGATTTCCGCCAAAGCATAGATTGGATATGAATACCACCGGCGAGAAAAGACGCAGAGAAAAGTTACTAAACAAAAAAAAGAAAAGGTAAACTTTAATATTGTCTAGCGATTGTAGATTGTCGCTACTTACGTGGTGTCCACAATGGGCTTCGCCTCATTGCCGCTGAGTATGAAAAGCGGAAAGAATATGGAAAAGATGCAGCTGCTGACAATCACAGAGCTGGACATATTCGTAAGCACCGTCAGCGGTATGCCAAAGCCAAGGAAATATGGCCAATTCTTTTCAATGTAGGTGAGTCGTCGATGCAGCTCCCAGCCCATGTTGAACCATTTGTACTCGAAGGAGTACAGCGAATAGAGCAGGCACAAATGAAGAAAGCACAGCGATGAGCCAACATATTTCACTGGCACAAGATTGACTAACATGCTCTGCACCAGAAACAGTATTTGCACGACCATGCTGAAGAGGAAATCGGCAACCAGTTTACTGATCCCGGGTATCAACTGTGGCCGACCCTTGCGCACACGATACGCTGCATTCGCAATGTCCGCGAACCACAGCGAACTGACAATCTTGGAGAGCATGAATATGGGCAGCACCCACATCATGCCAAAGATCAGCGACAAAATTGGATGCAGCCAGCTCCAGACAAAGGGCAACGTATCGGACTGCGCGCCATAGAAAATGGTCAAACAGAATTTCAGCGTAGGCAGCAGCACATTCTCGAACAGCACGATGCTAAGCCAGGTGAAGCCGCCATTTAGCAGGCAGCATTTGAACAATTTCTTGGCAATTTTCTTCTCGCTGCAAATGCGTAATAAATACAATTAGTCATGCGCTATTGTTAGGGGTACTCAAGAAGCTGCTTTTAGTGAGGATTACGCTGCGCTCAAAATTCGCGCGCTAAACAGCTGTTGTCCGATAATTTTTTATCGATAACTTTTTATCTTTGTTATGACAGCATAAGCAGTTGCCAGAGTACCCCATTTCCATTTTTTTTTTTTTTAACAACATTTGCATACTTACGCCTGTGGCTGTGGCTGCTCCACGGGCTTCTTCTTAAATATCTTCTCCAGCGTACGCTCATCGGTATTCGCCTCCGCACGCTTGGCATACTCCTCGCGTATCATTGCCGCCGCCGAGCTGGGCACTGGCGAGGGCGAACGTTGCGCCTGCCTATATTGCTCCCTGTCCATTCTGCGCAGCTGGCGCATTGTCTCCAATTCCGCATTTTGTCTGGCCACCTCGTTGTCTATGTGAAGCACCAGGGTCATGCCGCGTATGCTGTCCCACAGTCCATACAAAATGCCCAGCGCGATGTTCTGCAGCACATACACACATGCACAAATAGAAAAAATACACGTTTTAAATTTACAACGCACTTAAATTTAGAAAACATTAGCTACGCACCTTTATTGCAGCCATCGCCACCTGTCTGTTGTCTGTTGGATGTTACGGTAGTTTTAGCCAACACTTAATGCAATTGTTACGACTGTTGTGGGCATTACAAAAATAGATGCGTGTTTGTATTTACGGTTCTTGCAGTGTTGTTTGAAACGTTTTGTTTCCCTATGAATTTGCGCTGTTGCGATGACATTGTTTCATAGTAACACAAATTTACAGTTTACACGATGAACAGCACGTCATTACGAGTAACAGTAAAAATTAGATTTGGTATACCTACTTGTTGCGTGACAGCCAGAGTTTATTCTTTTGTGTGATTCACCACATTTGAACCTTGTCCCACCGATATACCCGTAAATAATTTGTGAAATTGTTGTTTGTCCGTATCATGTACTTGCTACGGTCTGAGTAACTGCATACACTAGCTATCGATATATCGCATATGGTAATTCATACTCTAGCTATCGATATATCGGATATGGTAACATCGATAGGTTCAACGAACTACTCGCTAGGCTAGGTGGGAAAACAAAAAAGTACTTGAGTTCAGTTTTTCCGCTTGCGGAAAACAGGTAGGAGGTGGAATTTCTTGAGCGTTAGAATTTTTGTTTTCAACTTGTTGAGCTTGCATCATTCGAATATTGTATAGATTTTTCTGCTGTGTGTGTGAATCGAATGTGTTTGTTTTGAATTGCAATAATAACAATAACACAAACATAATAATTGTATTTTGTTTTGTTATCTGTGGGTTTTAGCAAGTGCTTTTGAATCATGTGGCGCGCGCGCTTAATTATAATTTAAAAACAAACTCAACTGACGGCATTTTAAAGACACTGATTAATTATTGTGCGACCTGCGTAGTTGGCGTTGATAAAAGGTTTTGTATCCTACAGATATATATGTGTGTGTGTGTGTGTATGTACCATATGTGCCTGGCTATGTAAACATGTTATCTGGGCCTGCCAATACGCAAATAGGTGTATCACTTTTCGAAATTTTAAACCACAGGTGTCACGCGCTTAATGCTTCAATAAAGCCGCGCACAATGCGGGGCACTTAATTGATTAGCAACGGATTTGCACCGTTAGTCCAACAAACTGTGACCAAGATCTGGCTTGTTTGTCTAACGGTACACACACACACGCACAGGGTAAATTGCGTGTGTGTGTGTGTGTGTTTGTGACGATGGAAATTTTTATATAATCCCATTTTCACTTTTATTTTATTGCAGTTTGAAAGACTCCAGCGCATTTTCATCCCAATCCAACCCCCGCCGCAGCCGCCCACCCACGCCCTGATAGTGCACTGAAATAATCAATAAAGCAACAGCAGCAGCAGCAGCGGCAGCAGCAACAACGACAAATACATAGACACACGATGTGGGCTAGTGATAAGCAGCAACAATAGAGGAGGGCAGCCCCGCGGCTCTACCCAGACTTAGCTGAGCGACAGCCCACCTAGTTCCAGTCCCAGTTCCAGGCATTTGCAAAAAATCAACAACAACAGCAAAAAAGAAATAGAAAGGAATTCCACTCCGAAACTAGCCTGATTTTGTTGACGTGAAAATGTCGCGGGAGGAACGTCTGCCCATTGTGGATGCATCGAGCAGCAGTGGCGAGGATGAGGCCAGGCCTGTTGTGCGTAGGCGCAGCACACGGGAAACCGTGCTGGCTGTACCGAAGGATACGGGCTGCTGTGCGCCCACCAGCACGCCTCATCGCTTTCTGGCCCTGGTCTTTATGTGCCTGCTGGGTTTTGGTGAGACTTCAATCTTAATTAACTGCAAACATGAGCTCATTGTTCTTTGTCCTCTCCCAACAGGTTCCTATTTTTGCTATGATAATCCGGGCGCACTGCAGGACGTATTCCAAAAGGAACTGAATCTTAATGCCACCGAATTCACGTTCATCTATTCCATCTACTCCTGGCCAAATATTGTTCTCTGCTTTGTCGGCGGCTTTCTCATCGATCGAGTCTTTGGCATACGCCTGGGCACAATTATTTACATGCTAATTGTGCTCCTGGGTCAATTGATATTTGCCACTGGCGGCTTGTTGGGTAAATTCTGGCTAATGATTGTCGGCCGCTTTGTATTTGGCATTGGCGCCGAGTCTCTGGCCGTCGCGCAGAACAGCTATGCGGTCCTCTGGTTCAAGGGCAAGGAGCTGAACATGGTATTTGGGCTGCAGCTGTCTGTGGCACGCTTTGGCAGCACCGTCAACTTTTGGATCATGCAGCCGGTCTACAACCATGTCTCCAAATCCTATTCCGGCTATACGGGCCTGGGCGTTACACTCTTTTTGGCCGCCAGCACCTGTGTCATGTCGCTGCTGTGCACTCTCATATTGGGTATGCTGCTCCAAACAAATATACCCTGTACACACGACCAAGTCGGCATTTCCGCTCTATAAAGAAGCTTAGCTGAATTGTGTGCAGGGTATCTAACAGTCGAGCATTCTCTCTTATTACACAGTGATTCAAATAATTGATGTAAATTGTATTCTCCTGCAGGCTGGATGGATAAGCGCGCCGAACGCATACTGAAGCGCAATAACAATCCCGGCGGCGAGATCGCCAAACTGAGCGATATTATCACCTTCAGGCTGGACTTTTGGATGGTATCGGTCGTGTGTGTGGCCTACTATGTGGCCATATTTCCGTTTGTGGCGCTCGGCCAGGCTTTCTTCACGACCAATTTCCATCTGACGCCCGAGCAGGCCAACAATGTCAATTCGATTGTGTATCTGATCTCGGCCATTGCCTCGCCTCTGTTTGGCTTTATCATCGATCGTGTGGGTCGCAACGTATCCTGGGTATTTGTGGCCACAATTGCCACGCTCGTCGCGCACGTGCTGCTCACCTTTAGCCAGCTCAATCCGTACATCGGCATGTCCATCATGGGACTCTCCTATTCGATGTTGGCCGCCAGCTTGTGGCCCTTGGTGGCATTGATTGTGCCCGAATATCAGCTGGGCACGGCCTACGGCTTGTAAGTGGAAACAGATTTTAACTTAAGTGCCAAGCCGGGGTTTTTTGCTTATGTTTACCTTATTCTATTTTAATTCTATATTACCTGTATTTCAGCTGCCAATCGGTGCAAAATCTGGGCCTCGCTGTGGTCACCATTGTCGCCGGCCTTATCGTGGACAGCAGCGGGGGCAGCCACTTTTGGCTGCAGCTCCTCTTTATACTGTTCCTAATGAGTGAGTGTTGTCTGTTCTAGTTATTGATTGTTTTAAATTAATAAATGGTTTTGCTTACAGTCTCCCTGTTGGCAACGTGCGCTATCTGGGCTTACGATCGCAAGTATCAGGGCAATCTGAACATGTCGCCGGCACAGCGGGCCACATATCATACATCCATGTACGTGAATATTGAATCTAGTTGATGGTGTTCAAACTATAGTACATGTTGTTGTATTGGTGTATATTGATATTGTGCGTGTATTACTATATAGATCGCTGAGCAGCTAGCATTTTACTAATTCTGTAAAATCTCTCTTTCAAATGCCAACAAAAGCCCAACTAAACGCGGCACTACGGATCGACGGCCTCTATTGGGCAACTAAACACACATCTATATATATATATATATATATAGATATATACTATGCATAGCAAAAATATGTACGATTAACCAATGTGATGTTGTTTACCATCTATATATCTATCTCTTGAACTCTATGTGTTTGGCACATATCTTACGAACTAATTGCACAAAGTTATTGTTTAACAATTAACAATTGTTTAACAATTGATCCCCCCTAACATATCAAGAAACTATTCTTATAATTGTGATTGTAATTTATGTTGTTAGTTTTGTGTATAAATGTATTCTATGCCCGTTGCCAAAGATAAATGTTGAATAAAATATACATATCTAGCAAGTGGAGTGTTTTTTTTAATCCAAAGATTATTGTTAAATAATTTTTCATGCCTACCTACCAAATCGGGTTGTTTTTTTTTCAATTCTAATCCCAAAAACTGACAGGGAATCCCACAAAATAAAGTTTAGAGCTCTAAAAAGGGAAGTTCTTCAATATGATTAATCTTCTAAGAGTTTACCTAATATATTTGTGTATAATTATTTTTGATAGAATATCAGATTATATATATCTTCAATGTTCTAGTTCAAATATTTTTTGAATCCATTTAACACAATCGTAGTTGATCTTTATTCAATTTATTTGTATTTTGCATATATGTGAACGATTTTCATTTGTCGAAATTATATAATTTATAATAAATTAAATAAATTAGCTAAAACATAAACAGAAATTCCATAAAAATTTTTTGGTGTGTTAATTGTAGAAACCAAAAATCAAGATAAGACAAGTTTCCATAACGCATTGGACTAGAGAAAAATTCAAATACAATTCTTTTTAAATGATATTGCACAAAAATAAAAATATACGACAAATGATAAATGTTGTTTTTGAGAATAGGGAACTACATACAAAAGTAGGATGATTGAAATTAGATACATATGATACATATGCGTGTGTTGAGAAAATAAAAATGTATGTTTATCATTCTTTTTTTTTTTACTAGTTGAATAAAAATGCATTTGCGTTCATTTTGGCCGTTAATGTTCGAACCGCTTTTCGTAATCCGAGTAATTGAAGTTGCATTTAGTTATTATCATAGCAAGTATATTATGCATATTAGTAAATAATCATCGTTTTTTTGAGGTTTAACTTAAAGCGCATCGTTAGAAAGTTGCTTGCTTTAAATTTATCATATAAATCGTCGTAGGCTTTGTTTTTTTCTATAAAGCTCCTAACTTAAGTTAGTTTTTAGAAATTTGATTTTTTTTTTTTCATTTTTGGTCGTTCATAATATTAAGAAATGTACGTGACACGCTAAAGCTAAAAGCATAGTACAAAAACAGAAAGATGCAAGTTAGTCTGATATTTTTTTTTGGGGGCTTCTATAAAAGTCTCGCAAACAGACAACTGTCCATACATAAAGATTAGCTATTGTCGGGTTGGTTTGTTATAATATTGTTTAACAATAACTAAATCGTTGATTATATTTTAGGTTTTTGTTTTTGTTATTATGTTTTCTTCTTCTACTGTGTTATTCATCCACATTTTCGGTATCGTCGGCGGCCACAATAGTTCGCTTGCTGGCACTTTGAATGCTGGCCAAATATTTTTCTCCATCGAAACGCTGGCTCTCATCCTGTAGATCCTGCGCAAATAAGATATAGACATTTAAGTACGTGTTTACACAGCAAATAAAAAAACTAAAGATACAAAGTTCTTACCTTATTTGCAGTAACAAATTTATGTGTGTGTGTGTTGTGTGATTTTATGGCGGTTGTGTGTTAAATACAGTATGTACAAATAGATAAAGCCAAGCGCTGCGACTTTGTAAGCCAAATTTTATTTTACATATGCATGTATATATAATATATATATATATATATAAAGTTTAATGGGTTAATGTATGGAAAAAACGCTTACAGCTAAGTTACATTTAAGCCTAAATGTTGCAATTGAAATTGTTATTAGTCTTGTTAAACATTAATTACAATGCGTGTGAAGGTGTCTTTTGTGTGTGTGTGTGTGTGTGTAAGTGTGTGTGGGTGTTAATATGGGTTTGTCCGGACACTACAAAACGGGTTGACCGGCAACTTTTTAGTTTTAAACTCTAGCGAACACTAAATCTGCTTCACAGCCAAAATACAGATTCCATTTTTAAGTTACAAAATTAATTTCTAAATACTTTTTAGTTTTTAAGTATTTAAATTTAACATAATATGTTTTAGTGTCTACGACTAGCAAATAGTTGCCCGGTTTACTTTATGTTAATTATAATATAATAATACTGAGCATACAGCTTTTTGTGGATTGCTTTTGTATTGCTTTAAGTTCTAATGATTATTTTTTGTTTGTTGTTTTTGTCAATGTTTTATATGAAATATTTCGCATCTGATGGGGTAAAAATACCGATCTATCAATAGCTGCGTAAATGTTGAGTTTTTGTTTTTATTAAAAGCAAATTAGTTTTAAATAAGCGCACGATTGTTGTTAAGCTCCTCGCTGGCGTAGACATCACACATGGCCAGCGAGAACTCATCGTTCTCGCTATAACGCTGAAAAATTGCCTTCAGCTGCGATTGATGCTGCTGTTGTTGCTGCTGCTGCTGCAACTGCCGCTTGCCGCCGGCTGTGGCAGCTGCGCCCATTGTATTGGTTATAATTTGCAATTGCTTGTTATATAGTTTACGATCTGATTCAGAGGATGGCTTGCGATTGTTCATGTGGATACTGTCACGTTCGTATGATATATGTTGCTTGTTAATTACACAATTATGATTGCTAGCGTTCGGGATGTTATTAATGGGATCACATTCGTTAATGGGGTATTGATTGACTGCTGCCACTCCGTTACTTGCTGTGGATGTTGTTGTTGTTGTTGTTGTGGTAATACTAGTTGTTGTTGTTGTTGTTAATGATGAATTATGTGCAAAAATGATATCGCCACCAGCACCGGGCGCAGTGGAAGCATTTAAGTGCATCTCAACTGGGGGAATTACCTTATTGCGTAGTATCGAAGGCACAGTCTCCATCATTTTCATCCACTCGATGGGCAGCGCCCAGGCATGCGGACTCTTCGAATAGTACATCAAATGTTCAATATCATATGAGACGCGTGCTGCAAATGCAAAACATATATTAAACAGGTAGAAGTCTTCTAGCCGGGACGGGACCGACTAGGAGGTACTATCCAATAGGATGGGAGGAGCTACCATCTGCGATGGAAGCTTTCATACATAAGGACAGACAGACGGACGTGTCTACAAATTCTTTAAAGGTTCGGATATGCCTCCTTCTGCCCTCTGCCCCATTTTCAATGGGTAACCCTCGCAACTTATCCCAGCTTCTGTTGCCAATCCTGGTCTCTACACAAGACTTTTCCTGCCTACTTACAGTTATTCGTCTTTAGATTGACAGCGCCGTCTTCTTCGAGCTTTTCGCGTGCTGCCTTCACTTCGGGCGTGGACTCTTTGCGTGAGAAATGACTGCGACGGGATCGCGCTAGACCATTCTGATTGCTGCTGCTGCCATTGGACTCGGCGAACACTTCATCGTCGCCATCGCCGTTATTGTTAGCCTGTCCAGCCGCATAGTTGAGACCAATGCCGCTATCGGCCAGCGGCAGCGCGTTGCTCAGCATAAACTGCGGTGGTCCGGAGCCGGGCAGCGGTGTGGAGGGCGTTGTCACCGGACTGACCAGCGAAGTGCCATCAAAAGCGGCGCCCGCCTCCATGGAAGCCAAGAACTCGGAGCTGCTGAAATAGTCATCCAAGACGAGTTTGGCCACCTGTCCAGAAATGAGATTCGAATTAGATTTAAACCAAATATAAAATCTTCCTACTACTTACACGCACTAGCTCGCAACAGTCGCCCGTAATCTTGATGAGATGCTGGCCCACATTCACCGTGAATTTGTATTCACCTACGGAAGCATCGTTTGTGGAATATGAATGCATTAGCAGCTGCTGATTGGGACGCATAACTTTACCGGCAGCAGCTGTAGCCGCCGCCGCAGCAGCCGCATTGGCAGCCTGCTGCTGCTGATGGTGGTGATGATGATGCTGATGTTGCTGTGCCTGCTGCGGCTGTTGATGGTGCTGCGACATTTGATGGGCCGCAGCTGTGGCAGTCATGAAATTCTGCGCCGAATTGAAGCTCAAGCGATTGGCCAGGCTGCTGCTGGCGCCGGGCGTGCGCGGCTGCACCGCAACGGCGTCATCCGAATTGGAGGAGTTGAGCGATGAACAGGAGCCGCCTGTACCGCCAGCTGATGGTGCTGGCTCCAGGCGCACCGGCGAAGCGTTACGACGTATGGTATCTTCCATCAATTGCTTGGCGTAGCTGCAAAAATTGCAAACATTTCGCATTTAGTAAAACAATAAAAAATGGTCAGCATGAAAAAAAACAGTTACTTCTACGAAAACGATTGCAGTAAAGTGGCAACGTCAATTTTCAAGTCAGCTTTAAGCAGGGTATGTACTTGAGCAATGCCTTGTAAGCAAAGGGAACACTCAATAATGTGGCAACGCCAAACTGAAACCCTTTTAACCTCGAGGTGAATTTAACATGTATTAAAACGAAATTATTTACAGGCAAAATTTAAAATATTGTAGCAAAAATTGTTTTATTGTTGAAAATTGTAAATGTTAGTGTCGCTTTCGCTTAAGAACATTTAGCAACGCAAGGGTTAGGTAAAACATTCAGCTGAGCTGAATGGTGGAACCAGTTGATTCGTGTTAAATTTATGTTTGTAAGACTATGCCTATTTTTTATAGTACTAGCGCCAAATACCTATGCATAACAATTTTGTAAGCTCTTTATTTACTAACAACAATAAATTATTATTAAATATGAATTAAGACTTACTTAATTTTGTCTTCAGCTGGTCCGGTAATCTGCACTAGACGTTCCTTGGCGCCAGGGTTGACTGCATACAAAATTATTTGAATATTAATAAATAAATTTAAAAAAAAAATAAATTCAATTTTATTAATAAATAAATATTTACATGCCGTGATTCGATTAGTAAATTAAATAAAATTCAAACAGGCAAATCAATGAGAGAATTTCAGCTGAGAACGTGCGGGCGTGCTTGTGTGCGTGTATTTACATATATTATATTATGTGTGTGTGTGTGTGTGTGTGCAAATGCGGAATTGGCCGTTGGATTTAAAAATGGCTCAAATTTGTATTTGAGCTATGAATTTCGACAAGACAGTGGAAAAAGCGCTTGATGTTTGTAGGATTTATGCGATCGTTTTGTTTTACCTCTTTGAAAGGATATTATAGTTTCGCTAAGTTCCTCGATCATGTGTACGCGTCGGCCCTTAATGCCCATAACTATTTGGGACGATTGTCAAGCGGTTTATATATAGTAAGACATAAGAATGAAGGAAGTACATCCGGTAGTCAGCAGCACCTGAACCGATATACTTACCCTTGCCGGAGTCGGCGTTGCGTATGACCACCTCATCCTTGCAATAGGTCTTGCCCGGAATTTTCGTTGGCTTGGGAAACTTGCCCGAATTGCGTATAACTTCACCGGGTGGCAACAGCAGATGCTGCTGGTTGGGTGAGCCCACGGCGGCAATGGCCGCTGCCTGTGCGGCGGCAGCAGCGGTTGCCGCATTGAAGGCAGCCGCATTAGCAGCAGCCAAACCGGAGCCGGTGACACCAAATGTGGGGGAGGTGCTTAGAAAGGCCTGTTGCTGGTTGCCAACGACGCCGGCAGCATCGTGTTGATATGTTTCAGCGGGTAGCTAAAAAGTAAAGCAAATTTAATAAGTAACAATTAATAAATACAAAGTATAAAACACAGCAGCAGACCCTGCTATATACCACTTTCGAGGCTTTAACTTGTTGGGAATTACAAGCGTCAAGCAACGAAAGAGGTACAGCATGCATAACAGAGTCCATTTTCGGGGCAACAGCTGTGTTGGCCCCTTAACAATAAGTATATGAATAATTATAATACAATTTCATTTGCTATATACCACTTTCGAGGCTTTAACTTGTTGGGAATTACAAGCGTCAAGTAACGAAAGTGGTACAGCATGCATAACAGAGTCTATTTTCTGGGCAACAGCTGTGTTGGCCCCTAAACAATAAGTATATGAATAATTATAATACAATTTCATTTGCTATATACCACTTTCTAGGCTTAAACTTGTTGAGAATTACAAGCGTCAAGCAACGAAAGAAGTACAGCATGCATAACAGAGTCCATTTTCGGGGCAACAGCTGTGTTGGCCCCTTAACAATAAGTATATGTATAATTATAATAAAATTTCATTTGAATTGTCTCAAGTGGCCCACCTCAACGCTGGACACTTGTTGCTTGGACTTGTAGTAGGCAATTGTGTCTTTGTCCTCCCAGCTGTTGGCGCGCAGTTCGATCAGTTCGAGGAGCTTGAGTCGTGTCATTATGTTCAGACGTTCGTCCTGCGAAGCATTGCGAAACACAACGAATGCACGATCCAGCGTATCCTTGGACACCGCCTCCAGCTGCGGCCCGTGGACCCGTAAATTATGCAGCAGCAGCGTTATCGATTCGGTTGTCGTATTGCATGACTGCAGACCCACAGTCACATTGTCGATCAACTGAATCAGCTCCTCGATTACCAGGTAGCTGTTCTTCAGCGATGAACGCGATTGTGTCTTGAGCGGACGCGGCGCCTCGATGTTTTTGACCGCCCTGGCCAGATGTGTGTGAGCCATGTTGTCTGTTTTTTTTTGTTTTCCTTTTTTTTTTTAGCCCGGTTTCGATTAGTGTCTGTTGTTGGCTTAAAAGTTCTGTTTTATAATCTCAGTTTATTTTCTTTTTAGTTCGTTCGTTTGCTTGCTTTGGATGTGTGTGTGTTGCGAAAATTGTGTGAGAAAGAAGTCGTAGAAGCGTTTCCGCACCTCCCCCTGCAAATAGAAGCGTAGAAAGGTGACAAAGATAAAAAACAAATAGGTAAAACCTAAAGGGGGCCCAATAGAAACCTTGGGTTAAAAATTAGTTTGAAATTTGTACCAATAAATCAATTATCTATAGATAAAATATGGACAGTTCTAAAAGTTAGGTCTAATTAAATTATATTTAAGGAAAAACAAAGAAAACATCAAAGTTTTTAAAGTCTGTTTTTAAGGTAGATGTCGGTAGATGTGATTCCTTTCTCTTTAGATCATAGATAATAAAATGGGTATTTAAAAATTTATTTTATTCACAATCTAACTTACAAATTGAACTTCAGTTAACCTATCGAACTTTGGCTGTTATCGATATCTATTGACAACGCTTTTAATATTGACTGTTACAAATCTCCGCAACTAGCGGTATTTTGCCTGCAAATGGCGACGCAACTGTTGATCTACACACACACACACACACACATAGATTTATGGGCACACATCATATATGTGGATAATGTATGCACTGTGTGTATCATTTGCAACTGTGATAAGAGCCGTTAGGCCAAAACTGATAAAATTAGATTTATGATTTATATCAGTGCTGCTCACTTTAGCTTGCCAAAAAAATAGAAAACGCTTTTAGCGCATTTTCAGCGTTAGGCTAATTAATAAGCACCATTGTGAATCATTTGCGAATTATATGAATGATAATTGCGCACACAAATTCCAAAATCGTTTGCATAAAACGGGCACAATGGCCATTTGTGTGCGTGCGTGTGTGTGTTTTGTGTGTGTGTGTTTTGTGTGTGCGCGGCATTTAAGTTTCATTAACAAAAATACGCAGCACGCATTTGTTGCTGCTGCTGCTGCGTCTAATTGTCGCTGGCTTTCGTTTTTATGCTGCGGCGTAGAATACACCTATTCGGATTTTAAATAGCACTTACAAATATTACAACAAAAAAAGAAAACTGTCAGTGCGAGCAGCGGATCTTGCCCACTTATTGAATCATATGTCGAGAATAGCAACAACAAATATGACTGTCGCTGCGGCAGCGACGTCGACGCTGGCAGTGCTGTTTGCGTCGCCTGGGGCGTAGGGCAAGGCGTGTGCCGTTAAATCAGCTCGCAACAGATCAGGCCAGAAGCCAATAACACTTTGCACCAGAACTTACACAAAATTTGTTATAACGTGTATATTTGTTAGTATTTAAAGTAAATTTCTCACTGATTTTTGTTCGAAATTAAGTAATAATATGTATGTGCCAGCGCTAGTCGATGGTTCGGAAACTACGCGTTGACTGCGCAGCAGCGCTACACTTGCTGCAGCAACGTTTGGCTGCTTAATATGAAAAATCTCTTGCGAATAAATGTTGCCGTTACACAATGCGAATTGTTATTTACTTTCCGCAGCGTTTTTCACTCTAGTCTGTTTTTATTTGACAAAATAGCTATATGAAAGCTTACCAAAAAAATCTCTGCGACTACTAGATCTGGAAGACAGTCATCGGTACTATCGATACTCTAATGGCCAGCACTATCGATTTGTTGCCAATATTATTTTAAATTTTTCCTTAATGTTGTCAATCTTATGACATTATATACAACTTTGCCAGCTTATTTATTTATTTATTTCATGCGTTTTTAAAAATGTAGATTACAAATTAATCCCTTCTCTTTGCAGGCTATTTTATGAAATCTAAATATCGATAGTTTGGCAATGTGGCGCTGCCACCTTGGCAGATATTACAGTTGGGGTTGTGCAGTAGCCCTGGCGAATCGAAAACTTAAATATCGGTCGAGTTCCACAAATTTTTTCTCAAATCTCTCGTTCGCTGTTCGATTTGCAGTTGTTTTTTGTGTACAAAACGACATAAATGATGGCTGAAAATTCAGCCACAGAGGACGCGATACCGCCTGAGGCGGTAAATAATGAGGATTCGGATAAAGATATCAGTGCTAAGCCGCTGCCAATGTCTTTCGCCGATTGGAAGAAGTGCAAAGTGGCAAAGGAGCCAGGAGGGGTTGCACAAGGAATGCGCAACGGCCGCAAAATCCATAAAAATGACAACAAATTGCAGGGCAACCAGCGCAATCACAATAATAACAACAATGGCAACATGAATAACAATTCATTTCCACCGCTCAGCCGACCACCGCCGCTGCCTTTTCCCCTGATGTCCATGGGCTTTGGCAACTTTGGGCCCGGCCCTGGTCCATGTGGCTCCGGCCCTGGTCCCTGTGGACCCGGCCCTGGTGCTTGTGGACCCGGCCCTGGTGCTTGTGGACCCGGCTCTGGACCCTGTGGACCCGGTCCAATGATGCCGCCAAACATGGGCAATATGGGCGGCAACAATATGGGCAATATGGGTCCCGGGCCGGGCCCACGCAATCATCGTCCGTTGCAGCCGCCGCCATTCTGGGAGGACATGATGTCGCCGCAGCTTCGGCCGCCGCCCATACAGCCGCCCATGCCCAAGTGCCCGAGCCTATGGAATCTGGTGCCCAAGGAAAAGCAGGCGAATCAACGACAACACAAACAGAACAACCAGAACCAACAGCCGCACAAAAAATACAAAACGAGCAACAGCAACAATAACAACAACAACAACAGCAGCAGCAGCAGCAGTAATAACACTGTCAGCAATGCTTTGCTGGATGCGGCATTGATGCCGCCACCGCCCCCACCTGGAGACAACAGCGGGAGCAGCTCCACTTCCTCCAAATCGAATAAGTTGATCAAGATCAAAAAGGGCGGCGACACCTTTGTCCAGATCGATGGCAAGTGGATACAGCGACCCGAAGCACCTCCTCCATTGGAAGACGCACCGCCGGGCACCAAAGAGGATCGTCAGCGTCAGTGGCGTGAATATCGTCAGGCCATGAAACCGTTCAAGAATCGTGAATTCCACAATTGGAAACGCACCGTGCAGCGTCTCAGCAAATTGCCACGCGATCAGCTGGACGAAAAGCAGCTGGAGCGTCTGCAAAAAGCCGAGGAATACATTGGCGCACACAAGGCAATGCTGACCATTAAGCATGCCGAGCAGTGGGTGCAGCAGTGTAACCAACAATCTGAAGCCACCACCAGCGACGGCAAGAGTCAGGTGTTTGTCCGCAAGCCCGTGAGCGTCCATTGGCAAAATAAGGTCACCAACGAACCAAAAACATTTCAACGTGGCGTTGCGCCCGTACGCAATCCAATCTTTGCCACCGGACGCGCCATCAAAGGCGGCGTTCCTGGCGATGCGGCCAGCGTTGCGCCCGTCGTCAATCCAACAATGCCCGCAATGGGTCAGTTTTCGGAGCTGCCGGCACCGCCCATGAGCGGCGGCTACTTTGGCTACAACAGCAGCAATCCCTACGGACAGGACACCGCCGGCAACACCAACCACACCAACAGCAGCAGCAGCAGCGGCGGCCTCGGCATGCTCAGCGGCAACAGCAGCTCGTTTTACACCAACTACACCTCCGGCTTCATCAAAGGAGGCACCCTACTGCCACCCTAGAAGGCTGCCGAGACAACGCCCTGGAGCGAGAATTACACCTAGTTATATAAATAATATAATTATAATTATGATTAATACTGATAGGCAATGTCGACGCGTTGTCTTAGCAGCCTGCGCTATTGGATTGTAAAGAAATTAATAAAAAAATAACTTATACCAAGGCTTAGCTTGACTCTCGCATCTCGAGTCAAACAAAATTCAAAGCAGCTTCTTATTAAAGGGATGGGGGATTGTGGGGTAAAAGAGCATGCTGTGGCAGGTCTTTGAAGTCTCGGATTTCTTTGGAGGATTAATAGCTCTATTGTGTCCTATAGCTGCCATAGGATCCACCGGCAGGAAGATTCTTGACAAATATCAATCCACATTGAATACAATTTGTTTATATTTTTCAACATATATATAACTATATATTAAGCTTAGCTTTGGTTGGCTTTAGGCGCGCGACTGCGACTGGTTTTGAGCTGAGCTTCGTCGAGGGGCGGCAGGCCCAGGAGCTCGCGTCGCTTGCGCTTGCCGCGCCAGATGGCCTCCTTGAACAGATTGCAGTAGAGCTCCACGGCGGCGGGTGAGTCATCGTTGCCCGGCACCGGATATGTGATCAGATTGGGATTGCAATTGGTGTCGACAATGCCAACTGTGGGTATGGCCATTTTGGCCGCATCCCGGACAGCTGTGTGCTGGGCGAGCACATTGTTCTGTGTGTTGAGGAAAATGCACAGATCCGGCAGCCGGGTGACAGCATGAAACTGGACATTGGCATTGGTAAAGATGCCGCCACGCCAGAACCGCGTGTGCGAGAACTCGCCGGCCTCCATGGCCTTCTGCTCGACGAGATGCGCGTTCAACGCATTCCGATTGAAAAACAAAATGATGCCATCCCGAAAGGCGATGTGGGCCACAACATTGAGGGCATCCCGCAAATGGGCGGCCGTCTTGTCCAGATCGAAGATCAGGTGACCCAGCCGGCTGCCGTACAAATACGGTCGCATGCGATCGTCGAGGGAGCCCTCCTTGTGGCCATAGTGCACGCGCGCATTGAACAAATCACGCACAGTGAATAAATTGTGCACCTGAAAGTAATCCGGATGCTTCAGGAGGCGCTGCTCTATGACATCAATATCCTCCGGCTCGGCGGGCGCTGGCACCTGGGCAGCTTGTGTGTTCTGTAGTCGCGCCGGTAGCGCACACAGCTGTCTAAAGTGTGGCACTGTAAGTGTGCGATATGCTTTCAGTTTTTATTTATCATTAAATTAAATAAACTCACGGTTATTGAAGGTTTTGCGGAACATTTTTGCGCGTGCAGCGGGCCGCTGTTTTCATAACATGCAACTAGTGTGACCGTAGGCGTGAATCACAAAAATACCAAAATACCAAATGTTAGTCGAGACAAAAACGCAACTTATCGATAACAATTGTGTTGGCCACCAAGAAGTCCGCGTTTGTCATTGGCAATAATGTTTATGTTTGGCTCAGTGCAAAAGTAGCACACAATATGGAAATTGAACAGACGCCCCCTAACGCAGCTACATCCGATACGAATTCCACATGTGAGTTCATGGACGCCGAGGGTGATTCGGAACTCAGCACTGGCGATCTCTACGAGGAGGAGGCGGAACACGCCGAGGCCGAGCAACAGGGCTATAGAATGATGTCGGAGCTGGGCGCCCAAAAGCGTAACACACTGAGCCCCGACTCGGAGACAGCGCCAGGCCAGTCCAGAGATTTGGCCGCCTCCGTGGAGTCGCTGGCGGTGAGCACCTCCATCAGCGCCAAGACCGAGGATAGCGGCAGCACGAACGCCCGGGACGAGGAGGAGGAGATGCACGACTATCAGCACGATAGCGTGTGGCGTGGCCAAAAGAAGCACATCTTCATATTGAGCGATGCGGGCAAACCGATTTACTCGCTGCACGGCAACGAGGACAAGCTGGCCACGCTCTTTGGCGTCATTCAGGCTTTGGTCAGCTTTGTGAAGCACGGCCAGGATGCAATCACGTCCATACACGCGGGCGGCATTAAGTTCGCCTTCATGCAACGCGATTCGCTTATTCTGGTCGCCGCATCCCGCACCAACATGAGTGTACCGCAGCTGAAGCTCCAACTGAGGTGAGCTGCAATTCTGCGAGCATTCTTTCATTTAACTTTCTACTCAACTTTTAACTTTTCAGCGATGTGTACTATCAAATACTCTCGACGCTGACCAATTCGCGCATCTCCCAGATATTCGAGAAGCGAAAGAATTACGATCTGCGACGTTTACTCTCCGGCAGCGAGCGGCTGATCTTCAATCTGCTGGCCAACGATAGCAGCAATGCCAGGGGTAATCACATCAATTGAACCCAAGTATTGCTCGCATTTTGACATTTGTGCTTTTTGTTTGCAGTTTCCAGCAACATTTTCACATTTCTGACCAACTCGATACAGGTTTTGCCGCTGCCGACGACCGTGCGTTCGAGCATTATCAGCGCCATACAAAGCAATTGCTCGAAGATCAAGAATCTGGTGTTTGCCGTGCTGATAGCTAATAACCGGCTGATCGCATTGGTGCGCCTGAAGAATTACTCGATACATCCGGCGGATTTGCGTTTGATATTCAATCTGATCGAGTGCTCCGAATCGTTTAAGAACTACGAGAACGTAGTGCCCATTTGCTTGCCTATTTTCAACATGAATGGGTTTTTGCATGCGCATGTCTCATACCTGACCGATGACTGCCCGGCCTGCTTGCTGCTAATGTCTACGGAACAGGATGCGATTCACACGCTGTCGGAGGCCAAGGGACGGATCACAGAGAAGCTGCGAAAAAATCTATGCCTGCAGGCCATCAATGAGGAGCTGAAACAAACCCATAATGCCAAACTGTATCAGCAGGTGATGAGCGTGCCCGAGATGCGACACTTTCTGTACAAGCCAAAGGCAATTGCACAGCTGCTCTGCCCCATTCTGAGGCATCCGTACAAATCGCTGGCCGAATTCGAGCGTCTCGAAGCCATCTACTGTGATCTATTGCATCGCATACACAACAGCTCGCGGCCGCTGAAACTCATCTACGAGGTGAAGGAGCGCGAGGTGGTGCTCGCCTGGGTAACCGCCACCTATGAGCTTTATGCGGTCTTCGAGTCTATTGTGGACAAGGCGACGGTCATCAAGTATGTGGACAAGCTGATCAAATGGATCGAAAAGGAATTCGATGTGTACTTTATACGTAATCATGCGACATTTTAAGCACCCACTTGTTGATTATAGATGTTGATAATGGATGGACGCCCGCATTTGTATAGTTATAGTAAAGGATGACACATAATTAAGTATTTCGTATGCCTGCTTAAATGTTCAACGAATCCGCGACTTTGTTGTTGTGTTGCGGCTGTAATAGCGTCTATATAACGACGATTTTTATACATATACATATGTATGTCATTGAATAAGCATGTAAATTTGTAATTAAAAGCCTTAAGTAAACTATTAACACATAAAATATTGCATTTTTTAATCGAGAAAATGAGTTTGAATCTGCACAGCATATTCAAATTGTGCGCTCAACCAAATAGCGCAACAGTTGCGCAACTGTGGGCTGTTTAAACCCCGTGAAGTTGGCTGCGCGCAAATTGCGACTCACTTGATGTTGGCCGCGTCGTGCGCAAGCTTTTTCGTACTCGTCGTCGGTTATCCTGCTCACTTGACATAAAAAAAGGCTTCCTCAGTTGAGTACAGGATATAAGCGTGTGCGGTACAAAAACACGCCAGGAAATCAAAGTGCGGTAAAAGAAGAGAAAAAATAAGCAAAAATATACACACACCAACACACCTATACATACAAATGAAAAAAGTGGACCAGTGCCTGTGCTCCCAGATGAGCCAAAATCAAATTAAATTGCAATAAATAATATACGTGCAATAAGTCGCATCGTGGTGAAATGGTGTGGGATAAACTGGCTGGCTACTACTTTTTAGCTGCTGCTGCTGCTGCTGCTGTCACCGCCTGCTTGCTCCCTTTTTAACATGCGCCACGCATTTTTTTGGGTGTTAAATGTTCGTGTATCTGTCGGTTTTTGCGCGCTAAGCTACGGCGGGCAGCGGCGGCGGCGGCGGCAGCGGCAGCGGCATTAATACCTCCCGCTCCCACACCCACGCAAAACACATAGACACACACACACACACACACACACACATACTCGGTGTGGCGCCCACTGTGCACGAAAATAGGCAGAAATCAAGCAGCGAATATACTACTATTTATGTATTTATGTTCATGTCCTTTTGCTCTGTGTGTGCGTGTGTGTGTGTATGCGTGCGTATATGTGTATTTTATGCTGTCACTGCTGCCGCGCCGCTTCGTTAGTTTTGCGCGCGTGTTGTGTGTGCCTGTGTGTGTGTGTGTGTGTTTGGGGTTAGTGTGCAAATCATTTAATTTATTACTGAAATGTATTTTTATACACATTTCTTCGTGCACTTTTTCGTCTATGCGTTTCGCTTTCATTCCGTTTCGTCGTTAATTTGTCGTTCGCTTTTTAAGCCAAATTCGTGCTCTCATGATTATATCAACAGCCAGTCAGCAGCAACAACAACAGCAAGTCGTCCTGCGAGCCAAAGTTTCACCTTTGTGCTAAGCAGACGCACACACGCACACGCACTCACACACACACACACACACAGCAACATGGCCACGGCGTGTCTTTTTGTGTATCCTAGAGTTATTTTTTGAAGGCAAACGAAGAAGAAGAAGCAGCGACGGCAGCGGCAGCGGCAGCAGCAGAGCTGGCAAAACGCGCGCGTGTTTTGCTGGCAGTTTTCCTTATAATCAAAAGCGAAAACAGAAGTGTAGGAATCTATTTTTGCGGCAAAAGTTTTTTGCTCTCTCTTTTTGGCATTTATGGCTTCGTGTGTCTCTGTCTGTCCGTGTTGAGTGTGTGTGCGTGTGTGTGTGTGTGTGTTTGCAGTAAACTTTTTAAGTGCAGCTATATACTTGAATTTTTTAATAATTGGCAAATTTTGCGCAAACACTTGCGTAGCGAATAAGTTATTTTAATAAAAGAACAAACTCGTAAAATACAGCCAAAACGATGGGCAAATGAGAAAAAACGAAAAACTTTATTTGCGGCACAGGAAAGTAGGCAACACTTTTTATATGGCGCGAGCTTGCGTGGTGAAATATTTGCTGCATACTTCTAGGCTGATCGGAAATTTCATTTCAGCCATATAATCGAAATACAAAAGATTACAAAATTAATTAAATAAAGATAAAAATATAACAAATAAAGTTAAACTGAAATAAAATGAACTTATATTTAATAGTAAAATTTAAGAAAATACCGAACCTATGCATATTTTCACTTAAAATTTTGCAACATTAAGGAAAAATTTAACTTTAGATTTATAATGCAATTAAACAAAAACGAGTTGAAATTTGCATTTTGCTCTCGTTAAAAATGTATTTTGTGTTTTAATTTGATTTGAAGACCAAACTAATTACTTCTAAAATCCACAGCAATAATGTTGCGTACAATTTAATTTGAAACTAACAATCAAAATCTAGACACTAACTAACTGCTGCCATAACTAACAAGCGTAGAAAAAAAAAACACGTATATCCAAAGCAACAACTAAAAAAACGACGCATAAACCCGACTAAACTAAACTAAACTAAAAAAAAAACGGCAATTTCGTATTAATTTTATTTGCACATACATTTTGCCGCGTGCTCATAAAAATTTACATAGAAACCAACACCAAAACAAGCAGCAGCAACAACAGCAACAACAACAACTACAACAACAACAACTACAACAACAACTGCTGAATGGCAACAAGGGGTACAAGAAGAGGTCCCCGGTTAACTGCTGACCCAGCCGAGCCTACGACTTTAGGTTAGTATCTCTCCATCTCCTTATTGCAAGAAAAAAGACAACTAGCAAAGTTCTAGTCGGGCATGCTCGACTAGCAAATACGCTAAAGCTGGAATTAATAACTTTAGCATTCTAGCTAGCTTATATTTTTTATTTAAATCTCGTTCTCCTTTCGACTTATTGGTTCTCGTCGGGCATGCTCGACTAGCAGATATGCTAATATATAATAATATGTACTTTAGCTAACCTGTATTTTGTTTTAAAAACAAGTTTCTCTTGCACCGAGAGCATAGAACACACAGCATATTTTCCAGCTGTAGTTCTGGTAGACTTCAAGTGCCAAGGCTTGGCCCTCGCTGGGTCGACCCCACATGGAGGCTGTTTGTGTGCCGAGGGTATATGCCAAAAATTTGTGCCTTTCGTCTTTGCATTCTCGTTTAACATTATGGCGCGTACGCTCTTTTGCTGCTTTATCGTTTATTTTTATTTTTATTTTTTTTTTCTCATCTTATTTTTGCCATTTTACTCGCCGCTCGTTTCCTTTGTTTGTTGCTGGCCTGCGCTTCATTTTGCTTATCCTTTTGCCCGGCTGCTGATCAAATAGGCATCATTTGCCTGCCAGGCAGAAACAGAAGCAGAAGCAGCGGCAGAGGCAGCGGCAAAAAAGGTCGACGGCAATTTCAAATGACAGTCGCTTGATGACTGTGTTGACATGATATAGGTCTAGGAGGGGGAGCAGGAGGAGGAGGAGGGGGTGCAGGCGAACTGGGCCGGAAGCAGGAAACAGCATCTCTATAAAGTTAACTAGGTGCATGTGCGCGCGCGTGTGTGTGTGTGTGTGTGTGTGTGTGTGTGTGTGTCAGCTATATTAACCCGATTTTTGACGTCAATTAAAGACGCGACACGCGGCTGAAATTTAATTTTTTATCGTGTGCAAGTGTGTGTGTGCATGAGTGTGTGTGTGTGTGTTTTGCGCCATATTTCTTGGGGTCGACAGCGACTTCCGGTCACATTTTCTTGGCCTTTGCCATTGCCTATTTTTAGGCGCCGTAAGTAATTGAAATGAAAAACGGACGTAAGCTGAGCGCGAGAGAGTGAGAGAGGGAGAGAGGGAGAGAGAGTGTGTGTGTGGGAGTGTGGGTGTGTGTGTGTGTGTGTGACGTGCTGGCTAAGTCGTGTCTGTGTCGTGACTGGCAGCTCGTTTAACCCCACGTGCTCAACGCTGCTCGCACACACACACACAACCACACACACACACACAACCACCCACACATACACACACACACACTCTCAGACACCGGGGCAACATTACGAGCATTGTGCGGAATTTATTGAATTTTTATTGGATTTCTCTTGCATAGCCGCAGCCGCAGCAGCAACTCGTGCGCCAAGCTGGCTGCTCTGGCTGCCTCGTTAGGCGTGGCATAATTCATTATGTTGAATCACCCAACCAGCCTCCATCCCCCCCTACTCCCAACCCTCCTCCCTCCCCCCCTCACACCCATTCAGCCTGGCTTGGCGTGCTTTGCATATTAATATGCATTCCTGTGGTTTCAATTTATGATTTAAAGCGACTTTCAGCGCGCCTGTTGCCCAATCACAACAACTTTTTCATTGAAGATTTTTCAACGCATTTTCACAACACACACACACACACACACGCACACACACACACTTAGTTTTGGGTGCGCAGCTAGTGATTAGCCAAATGTGCAAATTTTTTGAACGCAATTATTACGCTGCAAAGATCAAAAACGTACGCTCAACCCGTGACCCTTGACCCATAAGTTTAAGTTTTGCTTTGGGCCACAAAATTGTTGTCGAATGCTTTTTAAAGCCATCTTATGCTAGCCAAAGTCTTTTGCTACAACTCATTAGGAGCCCATTTTTCAGGTTTTCAACTGTTTTTGACAGCTGATTTCTGGTTTTGAAAGTTATTTGGTAAAAACTTATTTCTTGAAACTTTGACTTACATTATAAAATATTTAATGAAAACTTTTAAATATAATTTTTTTGGCTTGTTCTTGGAGTTGGGGCAATTTAATTGTTGCCATGAGACATATAAAATTTCAGCCCATATCCTAAAAATATTCCAAGTTTAAGTAAGTAAGAATTAAATACAAGTCATATGTAGGAATATTTTACAGGTCATACAAGGTTAAGGCTGAAAAAGTCTTAAGAAAAGGATTCTTTTTGGAATCAAGATAGTTCTCAAGAAAATATATAAAAAATTTTATAATATATAAACAAACTTTCAAGCCTGGAATAATTGTAACCCAAAGAGAGTGTGCAGTTATCCAACACTTGCGAGTTATCCAACACTTAATTAAGTTTTAGAATCCAGACACTTCTCAAGAAAATAAATGGAAAACTTTATAAAAAATAAAGAATCTTTTCTATTAATAGTTGATTTCTCTTCAAGCCTGGATTATTTTTAACCCAAAGAGAGTGTGCGAAATTGTTGACTCCTATACTTTCCGAGTTATCCAACACTTAATTAAGTTTTAGAAACTTCTTAATTAAAAGTTTCAAGCCTGGACGATTTTTAACCCAAAGAGAGTGTGCAGTTATCCAACACTTGCGAGTTATCCAACACTTATTAAAGTTTAAGCATCCAGACAGTTCTCAAGAAAGTAAATAGAAAACTTTCTGAAAAATAAACAATCCTCTATCAATAGTTGGTTTTTCCCAAGCATCGATTATATGAAACCAGTGCGAAATTGTTGACACGTATACTTTGCGAGTTATCCAACACTTACTCTAAATCAATTACAACATTTATTTAACTTACACTACACAGCACTTTATCAAATCATTATTCATGCACGTTCCGTGCTGTGCGTTCTTTATATATTTTCCAGCTTTTGCTTAAAGTTTTCCATCAAAGTTTTCAATATCGTCGCCTGCGCTGCGTTGCGTTGCGGTTGCGTAAGGGATGCTGTTGCCGCCGCCCCCTACCCCCCCTTCCCCCAAGGAGCTCGCCCAGCAAACGTTTAATATTCACGCTTGAGCGCACTTTCAGCGAACGTGGCGGGGCGGGGCGGGCTAAAGCTGGAGGGGGGTTGGGGATTCGGAGATGGCAGCGGGCGGAACTGTGTAACTGACTGAGCCCTAGGAAAATGTGTGAACTGTTTGACGCTTATCTATGCTTCTGCTTTTGACCAAATTTTATTGCCTCTTTCCAGGCCAAGCGTTTCGTTCCGTTATATTTCCATTCCACGACCCGAAAATTATCTGTCCAGAGGGGTCAGACGGCAGAGGGGCAGGGGCAGGGGCAGAGGGGATGGGCATGTATACATATGTAAAAGGGCAACTTGTGTAACAGCTGTTATTATTAACACTGGTTCAAAGCCACGACGGTTCGAACCCGGAACCACAGCTCTTATGAACCGAATCAAACGAAGCAAAGGGTAAAAGAACCAAATGAACCTATGCCAGAACCAAAGTATATGAACCAAGGCTTGAATCTAGAACTATATGGTTGAATTCCCGTTCATGAACCGGTTCGTACTGTGAACCGAACACTTTATCTAAAATTATAGCATTGATTGAAGATTATGATGTCTATTTCCCTGCTTTAGATATGTGAAAACTTGGCTATAAAAAGGGTTCTAACCATGGCTGCAAGCTAAATACAAGCTGAACCGGTTCAAACGAGAAATTTCAATATATTGTTAACTATTAAATGTTATTTGGTTCGAACTTAATGAGAGCGTGTTATTGGTTCGAATCAAACATTTTATCTGAAATTACAGCCTTGATTAAAAGTATATTTCCCTGTTTTGAAATGTGAATACTTGGCTATAAAAAGGACCTCAACACAGAAGAGCCAAGACTGCAAGCTAGATACAAGCTGAACCGGCTCAAACACGAAATTCCTAACTATAAAACATAGCTTGAACCACTCAAAAGGCGAGTCACTGGTTCGAACTCAACTAACGAGCATTTTGTTGGTGGACTTGCAGCAATTGTTATGCAACACACGCGAGCAATTAGCTGGAATATGGCCGTAAACTGGGCTGGCGGGCTAATCATATTAATCATACGCCATGTTGTGCTCATAAAAGTTGCCGCCAACCAAACCGAACGCTTTAAATGCAATTGGAAATGACGCTTGTTAACACAGCCGGACAAGCGTCGGGCCAATCTGGCAATCCGGCAATCTGGCCATCTGACAGCCGTCCGACTGTCCGGCTGTCCGGCTTGTCGACTGGGTCCTGCCAGGACGTGGTTGCACAATTGCAAGTGTCTTGGCTTTGACTTGTTTCTGACGTGCTTCGGGCATTCGTGATTTCAGCTGCCGGCGCTTCAAACTATCATTCAACTTTTATGTGAACATTTGCACGGTCAGTGTGTATGTGTGTGTGTGTGTGTGTGTGTGTATCCTACGGCCAGTCGTGCCATATAGTCAGTCAGAGTCAGTTCCAGTTGTGCCATCAGCGGAAGTGCTCGTCGCCATTTTTAGTGCACTTCTTGAAAGTGCGCACATTTCCGTTTGGCATCAATGATTCGCCTCCACCCACTGGCCGGCCGGGCACACAGCCCCACGGACACGCCCAGCGCTCGATTTCCTCATCAGCGCAGCTATCCCCCCTCTCTCTCTCTCTTTTTCTCTCTCTTCTTCTGTTGCTTGTTGTTTTTGTATACCCTGTAGCCGCAAAATGTGCCTGTTGGGGTATTTTATAGTCGAGTAAAAGTTGCACTACGTGATTTTATGGTCTATATTCTTGATCAGCTTAGTATCTTGATGAAATGTGGACTCCAACTCCTGCTTGGTCGAAAATTAATCAATATATGAGAATCTTTCGATTGAACCCTTTTTTCTTCCATTTCGAGTTGATGGCCCTAGAAGCTAGCACTCCCTCGCTTTAGTTATTATATTATTCTATTTGGTATAATAATAAATCACGTAAATAAAATAAATAAATAAATTCTTCAATTACCTATCTGGAGACAGTCTTCAACTCCTTATGTCTTCTTCCTCCTTACCTTACAAATTTCCTCCCACAGCCATAGACAAG